CGTGTGTACGCGGGATGTATTCTCAGAAAAGGCATACCTGATTTTTTTGATGGGACATCCAAAGCGCCCTTCTTCCGTCCATTCCGAGGCTATGCCTGCACACGCTGCTATGCGCCGCAGAGGGCTTTGTATCGACCTGGGCTATTAAATGCAGCTCTTGGTCAGCGGTGAACAGGGGTACATCCTATAGGACACCATGCACCTCATTGGGATACGAGGAATACAACTCGGTGATGAACTCCAATCTAATGGCCGCCAGGTTCCTTGAAGGTCTCTCATGAGGGTACACTCTTTATTTTGCACATGCCCTGAAACTCATTCAGCGTGATCAAGGTTATATTGAATGAAATTGGGAATCCAAGTTGTTCAATTAAGTTGTATATATATATATAGAACCTTTTTGTCGTCCGGATAATCTATATTTTGGACTGGGTATACCTCTTAGGCTATGTTTGCTCCTGATTGTGGTGACAGCCTTGCATGGGGTTTTCATAGTGGAGCAGCCAGAGCAGTCAGTGCTGGAGTTTTTCCCACCATTCCAAGATTTGCTGGCTCAGCTGCATAAAACATGGGGAGGTACAGCAGAAACTTGCTCTGCATCATTTATGTTTTTTCACGGTCGGTAGCTTAAGTATGATGCACGGGAGTTTGATGAGATATTCTTGGAGATTATCCTATATACATTCACAACCAGAGTTGGTGCAATATGTCTGCCGCAATCAGGTATTCAGAGCCAAATGGTACATGGCACACTATGGAGGCTTGACCCCAAAGCCCCACTACGCATGGAGCAACAGCCCATACATCGTCAAGCTTAATGCGGGACGGCTTGTTGGGTGGCGTGGTGGGCACACGCATGGAGCATCTTCCGTGAAAACATGCGCGATTTACAAGAACAAGAAGGGTGAGACATGTTATAAAGGAACACGTCAGCTTCGCAAATCTGAGTAGCTTATCTGACCATTTTTTGTCGTGGATGACCGCCAATAAAGTTGAACTGAGTTCGAACTATATCATTGACTGACTATATATAGGAAACTTAGGATGTCCATGATTTGTTTTTAAATTCCCAGTGATCCTGCCACATCCGAGGGAGTACCCGGTGAAGTTTGGCTGGAAGATTGTGGACCTCTACCCTGATCTGACATGCTCAGCGCGTGGCCCAGCATCTTTTCCGGATGGGGTTCCTCCAGCCTTAGACTCTTACCAGGGAATGCCAGATGAAATCGGCGCTCTGGCCTTTTCAAGCCTGATTGATGTGTTCAATTACCTTCGTCAGGGAAAGCACCTTTCAATTCCAGATGACTGGAAGTCCTTTGTTCCGAAACCCTTACTAACTATGACCGTGAGCAAATACAATATCATCTATCCATGATGAGGTTATCAGGGTTTGAACTGGAAACACATTATCGATTCGACCAGTTTCGATCTTTTTACTGATTTTTGTAATTTTTCAAAAAAAATAGTTAGGTTCTACTAAAAAACCCGGTTTTGTGGTATGGAAACCCGTCTTTATCCCGTAGAAAACCCGTCTATCGTGTTACATTTTCAGAACCTAACTTTTGGGAACCCGTCTTTTACCCGTGGGGAACCCATCTTTTACCCGTCGTAACCCGTAGGAAAAAGATGGGTTCTGGGCTTCACGGTCAAAGTGGGGATTTAGCCTTTGATCGGTGCCGAATCGCAAGAAATCGAAAAAATGATACTGCAATCTGTGCTTTTGATTGCATTATATATGTGGTGATGTGAGCTAAGTCGAAGAACATGAATTGATTGATGTACACGCTGCAGCACTTCACTTGTACTTAAAGCAAAAGGGGTTTCCTGTTACCTTTGCTTGCCCCATGTCTGCCCAGCCTGGCCTGGATAGCTCGAGAGTGTGGAGTTGCAACACTCTCAAAGATGGCATTGACCGCCTGATGGAGAAGGTGACAGAACTGGATGATGAAGAAGACAATCTTAAAAGACTGATCGAGGACAGTCTATATATATATCACTTAATTGAACAAAAGATCCTTAATTGTTTCGAAAACCTTTGATTGCACAGTTTACTGATTGATATAAGAAGACATGCGAAACGTGTGAGGAGATGGAAGCCAGCAGTCTTGCAGAGCGTGCTCCACAAATTGATCCGCCTTCTGCACATGAACCTGCAGTACAGACCTCAATGCATACCACATATGTTGCCTGGCCCATGCGTGATCCGGCGCCCAGGCTCCACCCACTGCAGCTCCGAGCATTGCTGAAGCTGAGACTCAGCAGGCCTGGACACGGCCCATGTGTGAAGTGGTGCACGTCTCATATATGCAGTGTTTGTTGACATAAGTTGTATCATCAAAATACATATTTTTGTATGTATATTTGCATGTTTATGCACGCATGCACAAATATCGCTTAAGCCGATGAATTCATAATTGCACCCAACAAGATTGAACAATCACATTAGCATTGCCAGGCTTCGGAAAGTCAAGTTCAACAAGCGCTTGCTGGTGTTCCAGCGGACGCAGGCTCAGGGCAAGGACTTCAGACGAGTTCTAGCCCTACTGAACTTGCTACAGCTCAAGAGGAACCCGGTAAGACTCATGATTCGTTGGGAGCTGGTTCAACGCCGGCTGAACTTGCTACAGCTCAAAAGGAACCCGGTGAGGATCCTGCTTCGTTGGGAGCTGGTTCAACGCCGACTGAACTTGCTACAGCTCAAAAGGAACCGGGTGAGGATCCTGCTTCGTTGGGAGCTGGTTCAACGCCGACTGAACTTGCTACAGCTCAAAAGGAACCCGGTGAGAAACCTGATTCGTTGGGAGCTGGTTCAATGCCTGGTAACCCGAAGGAGATTGCCGCGTGACATGCATCGGTTTCAGTATATATATCATTCCTGACTCGGTATACGTGCGCACATGTGACAGTTTAATTGTATATACTTCCAATCCTTATGCTCGAGTATGTTGTCCCATGTTCTCCCCCCGTGCGTAGGACAATGGAACTCATCGGCCAGTTGCTACCCCAGTGCGTGGGGATCAATCTCCAGTTCGCGCTGGTGCCGTCACCCAGCCCGGGAAGTCGGCGCCTCCAGCTCGTCGCAAAACGCGCCAGGAGAATTCAGTTGCCTCAAACGGAATCATATATAGAGAGAGATCGAGAGTATGAGGATAATTTTGCATATAAAGGTTAAACATAACTTCATGAAATATGGAATGTATGCCCAAAAAACAATTCTGAAAGCTATTGCATGTATATATATATATATAGATATCGATCGACTTGAAATCAGCCAAGAGATTGTTGATGTTTAAAGAACATATGGTCCTCTCCTATCAGGAGCTTTTGCGAGAGGCTGCAAAAGCGCAGCTCAGGAGACTGTGCACAGTAAAAAAAGAAGAGGGTGAACTTGAATGTCCCGTCTTGGGTTGTTCAAGAGTTCAAGTCCCGGCCTCAAAATGAGACCGCGGCTTTGCTGATGAGCTGCAACTTCGACAAGGCCGGTGTGGCCGATGTTCACACCCATGTTTTGTTCGTCTTTGCCTATATATAGCTGAATATAAATGCACACATATATGCGAATTACCATGGCACTCATGCGAGGCCAAGTTCATCTCTTCCCTGGAGATTGTGGTGAAGAAAAGATCATCTCTAAAGGTGACCATTGAGGAAGAGTGGCTGACCGAAAAGGAGATGAAAGATGACTATGGTTGGAGCCCGTCCTTTCCTGAGTATACATATATAATTATATAGAACGTGTTTCCGTCTTTGTAGCTATTTTTAATGTTTCTATATATATATATATATATCGTTGTTGGCGGTTTCATTTATATATGTCTTCCTCTTACGCGCAGCTTCCGCTGTTCCAAGGGCCCGCATCGCCGGTGCAAAGAAGGCATGTCTGGCAAAAGCTGCAACACATGTGAGGACTGCAAACTGTGCATTTATATATATATAGATATACATTCAAACCTCAAAGTACATATGGCTTATATGATTATATATCGATTGATTTGTCACAACGGTCGTCCGTTGACTGATGGATAGCTTTGCAGGAAGAACGTCTACGATGGGATGGAGGAGTACTACGTTGTCATCAAGGAGAAAGGTTCACGAGAACAGGAACAGGTTGAAGAGGAGACCCGAAAGAAATCAAAGGCCTTGGAGGCCAGCTATCTACTTACCACTTCAGAGCACAAATTAATATATAGTTTACTCAGTCTTAATTCAACCTTCAGTAACAGAAGCGACCCATTGATATGGGCATGATATGTTCATGGTATGTAAACGGCAAATTGCTCAAAACGAAAACATACCCCGATCTTAAGGCCTTCCATGGTCACGCTGTCCGCTGGAGGCTTCTGAGGAGCCGAACCTTTCCGCTGGGGCCTTTGATGGCCTGACAAAGCTTCAAGAGCGCCAATCTGCAGAAGTTGCCGTACCGGCAGTCCCGGAAGCACTTTCCCAAGTTGAGGAGGCCCCCCAAAATATAGAATCATGTCTTTGTGTAGTTTTTCCAACCTTGATTTTGTGGCCACATCCTTTTGTGTCAGTAAGCGACTGCTAAAACCTGACCAGACCAAGAAGAAACTGCGCAAGTTCTTGGACGCTATGATCCAGAAGTCAGGCAAGATCAGATGCCTAGTCAGGGAAATCAACGATTCCTACTCGAAGAGTGATCTGCTGCAGAAGTGGCACCCTCAATCGCGATTTCATCGGTATATATAGACTGCGCAAAGCACAATGGTTGCCACATGTGAGAAATTAATGCATTTATGCTCAAATGCATGTATAACGATTTGTATATAAAGTTTTTTTTGGTGCTTGCACACATCCCGTTCAGTCCTGGGTTCAGCCCTCAACCGCTTAAGGTCCAGACGTCAGTTGGAGGAGGAACTCCAGAAATTGGATTCCCAGTATGATGCCTGCAACACTGTGATGCTCAGAGGGGAGGTCAACGGATTTCAGCCGGAGTGGGGTACTCAGACAATCTCGGACACACAGAACTTGTGTTGAAGTCAATTTAAGTTGAAGTCAAGTTCAATTTCACTTTTGAATTCATGTGCCCTATATATACTTTGGCAATTAAGATGAGACCCAATGCCAGTGGACTTGAAAAAACAAAGGTTTGTCACTCAAGCCACTGCCGCCATGAACACAGCTACGTATGCGTCAGGGCCTCATGCTGAGAAGTCGCAATCTATAAATTTATGAACTATATATTCACCGTTTCCGGTTATACGTGTATACCAATCATTGAGTGAATATATCGATTCAAAACTATACAGGGTTCTCAGTCCCATGCAGGTGTTCAGCGGCCTGTTCAGCTGAAGCGAAGACTCGGTACTTACCTCAGTGCATCAGGCAGCCAGCAAGCATGTTTCTCATTTCAATTGACCCGACCATGAGGAATGCAAAGAAGTACGAGAAGAAGGATGCGGATCTTTCCCCGGGAGAGAATCGCAAGCCCACTGTGAAGCAGGAGAAGAATGAGAAGAACAAGAAGGAGAAGAAGGAGAAGGGCAGGTCTAAGCACGGAAAGGGTAAGAGTGAGAAACCTGAAGAGGGCGAGCCTCAGGCCCCGAAAAGGGCTAGAAAGTCTAAGTGAATACTTTTATCTTATGTAGGGACAGATTGCCTAAGAGCAATCGCATTTTGCGTTGGAACTCCCAACGGCATCTCATGAGGGAACCTGCAGGCCACCTGTCATGAAATCGGGACAGGGTAATGCTTGTAGGACTGGTCCAATTTGAGGACCGAATCCACCATCGTGTCATCTTGCCTGTAAAGGCTGTGAGTTCTAAATATATATAAATATAATGATATGCCATGTCTAGATATATATATATATAGTGTCAGCATGTTTCTTTATTTACAATTTATATAAGCTATATATACCTGAGCCTTTCAACATGGGCAGACTTGATGCGGTCTTCAAAGGCTTGCGCACGGGATTGGAGACATGTGCGGATGAAAAAATCAGAACTTTCTTTTTGTCCCTTCCTTTCGCCGCTGGACTCTGCATATATATAGATCGACTGAGGAAACCATTATTCTGACGCAACCAACCATTTTTCCTCAGCCCCCACCCTTCCGAACCCATATCTCAACACCACCATCCCTGCATGCCAGGTGCTGGCAATGCTCTGCAGACTTTGAGCAAAGATGTCGGTGAAGGAGCTTTGGCCTCAGCCATCGCTGCAATGCAGTGGTCTATCCAAACAACCATGAGACAAATGGCCATTTTGGGTCTATACAAGAGTTCGACCATTGAATTTCCACACTTCTGGTGATGCATTACATTTGGACACAGCTCAACATACACATGAATATATCTTATAGGTTTTGCTGGTGTCAAGTTGCCGAGACAAATTAAAAGATGTGTTTCCTTTTGACCAATTTGCAGCTTCGAGATAGTCCAACATCTCAAACCGATTTTAGTGCAATATGATCAATGATATGAACATATATGCATTATATATTGTATATAGGCAATTCACAATTATATAGCCTCCGAAGACCCTAGTCGATCGAGCAATGGATGACGAAACCGCTGAAGAAGAACTCTTAGATTTGCTGTGCTGTCACCGGACGGACCCTTGGCAGTCATCTTTCACGGGCAAGGGATGAAAGAACCGAAGTCATCAGATGCCAAAAGTCAAATCCGGGCTTTATTTTCCACATTTGGGTCTACATAGTTATTCAAAAAACACTTATAATATACAGGTCATAACAAGGAAGGTGTGCAGGTCACCCATATACATGGTCTTTTGTACATGAGTGTGTTTGAACTATATATATAGTGTGGCGTTTGTGTGTGGCTTCCAGGATTTACATAGGCCGGGGGTATTTTTACATGACCATAATCCCATGTATGCAGAGGAGATCAGAGGCACTATGTAACAATTAAGATATGTTCTCACATCCGTTCACAAGCTTATGGTACGAAACAAATCGATTATATATAGCTTTCAACCATCTCTCCGACCCATCCATTAAGGAAGCTGAAGGCCCTTTCCCATGGGCAATGCCGCCCGGGCGACCGTGCTCTGGTGGAGATCCGGAGTGCCTGGCATCGGGCAACCGATCGTTGGGGGGATGCGTCATCCCATGAAAGTGCACCTTCGGCACCAATTGCCTCAGAGATCCCCCCGTGGTTCCAAAAAATACCACCGGAACTTCAGGGCAACACCCGCCTTGTCGGCATTGCCAAGGAGGCAACCACCATGCCATGCATAGCTTTTGATCTACCACCGGCAAATGTTTCTGCTGGGCGTGTGCTTGAGCATTGCACCAATGCTCTTGAAAGGTTATTCACCAAATGGTATCCTATGATCTTCAAAATTGGCTGGACCCACAACCCAATCTGGCGTTGGGAGAATGATTTGTATGGATATTGCCATGAAAGAGACAAGTGGTCCAACATGGTCGTTTTGCACATTGCGCCTGAACCATTTTCTACGGCAATGCTAGAAGCCGCTCTTATCCAGAAATATCAAAGCATCTAGGCTGCATTTGTTTGCTGATATGACTGTTTGATGTAGGCACTGGACATCACTGGACAGGTCCTATATATATGTGTGCGTCAGATTGACATGTATGTTGCCATTACGAAAGCGATGTAGCGAACAAAGTTGGCTGCGGCATTCGGGCAACCCACACCATGCACTGGCCCAGGTAAACCTGGATCGAGGAATGTGCGATTGGGGGGGAGACACTGTGAGCACCGACCAGCCGGATGGAGCCTCCATGTGCTATGTAGTGTACAGGTCTTTCAAGTTCAAACCGAAGTGATTGCTGTGCATCACAATTTGAATATATATATATATAGACACATCATGTGCATGATCTGGGAATATTATATATAGTAGAAGCCGCAAAAAGAGTGGTCAGAATTTCAGATGTGCTTGAATTAAAAGCACATGCGATGAATCTGCGATTGAGCTTTCTGAGTTTCAGGGCAAAAGTGCAGCGCATCCATTTGCACAACCATGAACGTTGCAAGTGTCAGTGTGTGTGTGGCTGACTGCAGGGCAAGCCACCTTTTGAAAAGATCCTGATGCACTTCAAACGATCCAATTGACATGTCTATCCCTCTCTCTTATGTGTCTTTGCTTCTCTCCCCGGGTGCACAATTCCCACCGGAATTGCGCCCGTCACGCCGAGGCCTCGACTTGCAGAGCTGTGATTAGAGCAGCGCGTGGAGTTTTGAGTGATATCGGGGAGACAGCTGCGGAAGCCAGCAGTGGTCTCATAGAGTTGAGCCGGTGTACTTTAAGCAACAGTGAAAGGGATGTTGAGCGAGTGTCCAGGAAGTACAATCTTCAGCTCCCTGTTCCCATCAGAGAAATTCAGAAATCTCCTGGTGTCCGCTACTCCGGGAACTTTCACGTGATCGCTTTGGAAAGCTGGCTTCAATTCATCATCGATCACAACGTCTGGCATATGTTACTAGGCCTGCACAATGCAGACCCGAAACGGGAAAGGGCCTTGCTTCGCGAGTTTTGGCGCTTGTATCGGCTTGCTGAGCCTGACCATCAGGTGTGGGCTGAAATTGAGAAGCATGGTATCAAAGTTGAACATCTTTTGCCCGTCGTGATGCACGGCGACGAGGGGCGCGGCCGGAAACGCGGCCCTTTCCTGGTGACCTCATATCATTCAATGATAGGATTCGGGACGGTTTTAGCAAATGCCAACAGAAAAACAAAATCCTACCTGCAGCTTCGATTGAATTACGTGGGCTCCACCCACTCCAGCAGAATGATCACTGGGTGTCTACCCAAGATGCACAAAGACGAGCAGGCGCTTGATGACCTTTTAACTTTCATGACAGGCGATTGTCTCAGATCATTTCAGCAGGGCGTCACTGGCAAGCATGGTGAACGGTACCATGCTGCTTGTCTGAATGCAGTTGGAGATTGGGCATGGCTCCAAAAGTGCGGCCACTTGGAACGATCCTATTTGAACATTCCGAAGAAAGCATTGGTACAAACGAGCAAGCCCAAAGGGATCTGCCACCTGTGCCACGCAGGGCGTTTGGAGCACGACTTCGAGGATCTGAGCTTGAACCCTTCATGGCTTCAGACGATGTACTGCGATGAGCCGTGGACAGTGAGACCCGTGCTTCTTCACCTCGCCCACTGCCCATCACGGCCGGCAGATTTCTTCAGCTACGACTTGTGGCATGCGTTCCATCTTGGTATGGCAAAAAGTTTTGCCGCTTCGACATTGGCACGTATCACAGATCGCTTCCCAGAAAGTACAGTCGACTCACGATTTGAGCGTTTGACATCGCTGTTCCTCACCTTCGCTGATGAGCACCGTGAACCTACATACATCACAGCGCTGACGAAGGAAAGTTGCGGATGGTATGATAGGAAAACCTATCCCAACGGGCAGTGGAGCAAAGGCCACGTCAGTACAGTCTTGTTGCGTTTTCTTCAAAGTTACTTTGCGAGGTTTGACGTATCAGATGACATCATCCTGTCCAAGGCCAAGGCCGCAACGTCTGCAATCAACACTTGCCTTCACGACATGTATTCTTCGGATTTATGGTTGGAGCCTTCCTTGAGCCATCAGATTGGTGGAAAAGGAATGGAATTTCTCCAGTTATATCAGCAACTTGCGAAAGTGTCCCATGATCAGGGGGGAAGCGCTTTACCCTTATATGCCGAAGGCTCACATCGTCCACC